TCTTCATCTCATAATATAAAAGAGAAAAGAAAAAAAATAAAATTTTTCAAGTAAATTAATTGTTTAAATTATTCCATTAGTTGTGCTAATACGAAAAAAAAAAAAAAAAAAAAAAAAAAGCTGTAAAAATCCAAAATTGTATTTTATACATTTTTAAGACTATGAGTCACTGAAATTTCACTAACTTAAATGTAATCAAGAGGAGAAAAAAAAAAAAAAAAAAGTAGTGCTTCTGCTTACATAAGTATTTAGACACTTAATTGAATTGAACATTTTTAGGATAATAGTCTAGTTTCTTCAGCAGTTTCTCAAAAGATGCTTCAATAAATTTACTTCATTAGTAGCATAAGAAATATAAGACTGCACAGAAGTATTAATTTTTTCTTGGGCTGGAAATGATTTTGAAAAGGGAACCCATCTCCTTTAATACCTGTCTCTACTATACATGTTGGTACATGAAATTTATTGAACCAGATCAGAACCTTCAGATCCACACATAACTGTAATAAATACATAACTGCTTTTTCTCTGTTCCTATAACACAGAGATGAAGCTTGGTACAATGCATACATACATATATGCGTGTGTTTATATACACACACACACAAATGTGTTTATACAAATGCAAATATGCTTATGCAAATGAGGAAGTGTTCCCACAATGTGGATTTAGCAGATTAAATATTTTAAAAGCCAGATTTCAAGATCTTGCCCTGTTTATGCTTAAATATGTATGTTTATGATGTTTATGTTTGCCCTGTCTTGCCCTGTTCAAGTCTTGCCATGTTTATGTTTAAAGATTGTTGTAGTTTAACATTTTGGTTTATAAAACTCTTAAGTGATTAAAAAAAAAAAAGAGAGATGAAGGGAAGGGAAGGGAAGGAAGAAGGGAAGGAAGAAGGAAGGGAAGGGAAGGAAGGGAAGGGAAGGGAAGGGAGGGAAGGGAAGGGAAGGGAAGGGAAGGGAAGGAAGGGAAGGGAAGGGAAGGGAAGGAGGGAAGGGAAGGAAGGGAAGGGAAGGGAAGGGAAGGGGAAGGGAAGGGAAGGGAAGGAAGGGAAGGGAAGGGAAGGGAGGAAGGGAAGGGAAGGGAAGGAAGGGAAGGAAGGAAGGGAAGGAAGGGAAGGGAAGGGAAGGGAAGGGAAGGGAAGGGAAGGAAGGGAAGGGAAGGGAAGGGAAGGGAAGGGAAGGGAAGGGAAGGGAAGGGAAGGGAAGGGAAGAGAAGGGAAGAGAAAGAGAGAAGAAGAGAAGAGAAGAAAAGGGGTCCTTCCTCTCAGCCCGCAGTGGAAGGCCAGACGGAGCAGAGGAATGGAAAGAATCCTCTCTTCCGCCCTCTCCTCTCCTCTCCTCTCCCCTTTCCCTCCCTCCCTCTTCCTTCCCTCCTCTCTCATCCCTACTCGCCGGTCTCCCTCGCCCTCTCCTCGCCTCCCTCCTCCTCTCCGCTCTTCTCCTCTCCTCTCCTCTCCGAGCCCTCCTCATCTCGCCTCCCTCTCCCTCTCCTCTCTCTCCCGCCTCCTCTCGAGCTCCCCGAAAAAGGAAGAGATCCTCACCCGGAGAGAAGAGGACGCAACATAGTGGAACATAATGAAGTAAGCGCAAGCACTGAATAATTAAGAAATCAATAAACAATTCAGCATTTTCTTGATGTTCAAATGACCTTCCTGAATTGGAAGCTAAGGCAGTGTATGCGATATGAAATCTTTAGCTAGCTAATGTACCAAGTAAATTTGAGTAGGCTGGTAAATTTTGATTTAACTATCTTAACTGTTTTGATAGGTTAACTGTAAAGATCATTGAATCAGTCAGATATTAGTTCAGCAGAAGCCAAATAAAAGAGAGTACTTACAAAGAAATAGACCTGTAGAGAAAATGCCAGCAAGTTGTGGGAGGTAGGTGGTAAAATGACACTCTGTAATGATGCTCCTTCCTTCCAAAATCCATGATATAACCTCCCACTGTTGAAGACTGAGGTTACGCAAAACCCAAGGAAAGCCAAAAATACTTTTTTGATTAATAGAAATATCAGAGTTCATTGAGCATCTAGAAACATCTTACATGCCTGGGCCTGAGAAAGGCAGAAATGAATATGGAAATCCCACCTTTGGCACCACAGTATGAATGGAGCAGTCTCACTGGACTGAGGCAGCTGAGCCAGGATTTGATGGCTTCAACACAAAGATACTGTTGGGGAGGGCAAAATGAGAGGTTGCAAGTCCTTTTTGTGTGTGTCAAACCACTAGTCTTTTTATCAGATAACTGTTTTATGAGCAGCAGTATGTTGTAGATGGGTAAATGTACAATGGCTGGAAGGTGATTTTTCTGCCTGAGGTCACAAAACACCTGACTCTACTGAATGAGTTTTCTTCTCTCACACCACCTACCTGCAGCAGTCTTGTTAGGATCACTCTGTGGATCAGCTTTTCTGCTTCTTCACTTATGTATTCAAGCCCAAATCCAGACCAGATATTCCTCTGTAACTGGCATATTATTAGGGATTCAGCTCAAGGACTCTACAAAGGCTCTACAAATTGCTGAATGCCTTTGGTATGAGGGCACACAGCTCTTCATAGAACAAATACAGCTCCCCCAGAAGTATAAATGAAATCGCCCCAAATGTCTCACCATGTATACAAAGTCTGTAATTCACTCTGTGTATCAGCTCTTTAAATGAGTCGATGCTCCTCATACACAAAAATAATCTTTCTGAGATGGTGGCAAAAGATTTTTCCAAGATCAAGGGTAGCACTAAGAATCTGTGTTCACCTTTCATCTGCCTGCTTCGTGCTAGTTGTGTTGATGAAGTCTACAAAGCAGCCTGAATTGGAAGTCAGCTTGATAATTTGTATCTTGCTCTCTTACCTATCATTATAGTCCATCATTATCTTCTAAAAGATTTTCCATTGCTTTTGAAACAAGTGAAGTCAGCATTCTCTCTCTCTCCTTGGGAAGCAGTACAGCTGTCATTTTGCCAATCTACCCACAAAATGTTACATCCATTTAGCAGTTCTGAGGAAGAACTAAATGGTTTTAGCCATATTTGATCAATTTTAAGTTTATTTTTATGTTAGTTCAAATCATTAAAAATTTGAGCAATAAATGAGTAAATGGAAAATATCACTAAGAGTGATGTTATATGAAATTAATCATGAAGATTATCAGGATTTCTCAGGACATTACTTTCATTATCAACTCTAGAAGTATTGAAGATTAGCCTTTTCTTTTTCTTTTTAATTTTATTTCCTTTTTTTTTTTTTTTTTTTCCCAATTATTTATTTATTTTTCTGTCTCAAGCCAATCACATATGTTAGCATACAAACAAAAGACTAAACAGAGACAAAAGTGAACTGTGATGTACCTGTTTGGACCAGGAAGTCTGAGCACAAACCATGGCTGTGAGCTACTCATTACTGAGAACTCCCTCACTGATTATATAATCAATTTCAATAGAGATTGATTGCATAAGGAATCTACCCCCAAGCTTACATGCCATTTACACATTATATTCAGTATTTCTTAAAATTACCCAAATAATAATATATCATAAATCAAGAACTCAGAGTTCTTGATTTAAGAGTTCTCTGCTCATCGCAAAGAAATTGCTAGAAACCCTTGGAAACTTAATGCAAATTTACTTAAGCTATCACTTAACTCTACAAAATCTTGAAGCTTGTTTAAGAATTATTGTTAAGAATTATTTAAAATCAGAGCTGGAATTATTGGTCTATAGGGTGAAGAAAAACTAGTTTTTATGTTTGTTCCCCAAAAGATGAGTGTTTCAGCAACACATAAAAATAAACCCATGTGTAAATGGCACAGTCTGAGTCATGTATCAGATGCAGTAACTGGAGGGACATGACTGTGAAAAGTAGCCAACAGTTATTTCCAACTATTAATGAAATGAAATGAAATGAAATAAAAATAAGTATAAAATAAAATAAAATAATAATAATAATCATAAATATTAATAAAAAGTAGTGCAAGTGTATCAGCTGTGTACTTAGGCAGACAGTTTATAAGCAATCTGCTTTGTTGGCAGTATAAGAGCATAACTATAATAATAATGATAATTTTTTAAAAAAAAAAAAAGTATATGGAAGACAGATTGCAGTAGAACATGAGCTTCTGACTTTCCAGCATTTGGACAGAACAGTGTGAATACCAAAGCTCCAGCCTCTGCTCAGTGTCAGAAATTTCCATCCTTGTCCCTGCCTTATATTTCCACCTTTTGACCACATAATAAGGTTGACTGGAGCAATTAAATTTCACAGTGAATTTTCTCCGACTTTGGAAAATACAGGAAAGGTTATATTATCCACTGTGACCCTAGAAATCTTTGATTTTGGCTTTTGACCTAAACATTTTGATACTAAAGTAAACATTATGAACAGTGATGAATATGAAAATGTTAATTTGTATATGGTACAGGTTAGTACTGCTATTAAGTAAGATACTTGCTGGTGGTAAATGTGATGACATTTTCTATACTGATATGTTCCAACTACCAGGAAACAAACGTCCATGGATTTTGTTAGAGTATTTATAGTCAGTGTGCTACTCTCTCCCCTTGATTGTCAAGGCAGTCAACACATTTTCTTCTGCAGGTCAGCATGTGAACTGACTGCTGTTTATTGCTTTCCCAACAGGTGACTGAACCTGGAAGCTCCAAATCAAAAATTTACTTGGATTCTGATTCAAACACTTCCAGGAGGCAGCCACAACATCTCTGGGCAACTTCTTCCTTATCACCCCCACAGTAAAGAAATTCTTCCTTATATCTGATCTAAATCTACCCTCTTTTATTTTAAAGCCATTCCACCTTGTCCTATCACTACAGTCCCTGACAATGATCCCCTCCCCAGCTGTTTTGTAGGCCTTCTCTTCTCCCAGCTGAACAACCTCAACTCCTCAGCATGTCTTCATAGGAGAGATGCTCCAGCCATTTGATCAACCTCATGGCCCTCCTCTGGACTTGTTCTAATATGTCCATCTCCTTTTTGTTCTAGGGGCTCCAGAGCTGATCACAGCACTCCATGTGGGGGGTCTCCCGAGAGCAGAGCAGAGGGGGACAATCACCTCCCTCACCCTTCTGGCCATGCTTTTTTTGATGCAGCCCAGATGGTTGGTTTTCTGGGCTGCATGTCCACATTGCGAGCTCATGGCGAGCTTCTTGTCAACCAACACCCCAAGGTCTTTCTCCTCAGGGCTGCTCTCAATGCATTCTCCACCCAGCCTGCATTTATGCTTGGGGTTGCCCCTGCCCAGATGCAGGACATATACCCAGCTCTGCATTGGCAACTCCACTCAGATGGTATGAGTTGTGAGCCAAAATTGACTTTGTAACAGTTGTTTTCATTAAAGAAGGCATAAAGGTGAATGGTGTAGGTATGCAGTGTTCTTTCGTCTCTGAGTAACTGTTCCTACTGCTTTAATTAAAGTGTAAGAGGTTACATGAAGATATACTGAAAGTCTAACAACGAAGTTGTAAAAGGATAGAATCAATTTACATTTTAAGAAATAAATTGTGACATAGATTGTCATTAACAACATTACTATGTTTTTGAGGAATTTCTAATATCTGGTAGTTTTTTTTTTTTTTTTTAACACTTTTTCAATAAATATTCATAAATAAGTTTTAGGTTGAACGTATCGGACTGAAGGGTCACAAATAATAATACTGAAAAAATTCTGAAATCCTGAATAAGCAGTCAGCTGACATACAGGATGTTATTCCCTTCTGAAGAAAGTGTTTAGAGGTAAAACAGCAGAAACCCCATTGTCTACAAAAAAATGTGTTTTTTTTTCAGACATTCAACTTACAGCAGACAGTATCTTTGTCGTCAGATATTTAGGTTAGTCCTTCTGCCATACACCTTTATCAGAATAGCCTACTTGATATAAGAGGATTAAAGACAGATTTTTCTGTGCTTGTGGTATTCAACATGTTTAGTATGTGTAACATTTAGGTATTCTAAATCTGAACTCCCGTGCATCAAGATGATGGACATCTTTTATTAGGTGGCTCGAAATTTCTAGGAGACAGTATAATTTCAGTGAACATAGTGCTTATCCTTATGTTAAGAATTTTGGCATAATTCACAACCACATTTAGACACAAACCAGGGTTTAAATAATGAAAAGTCAAAGAGAAACATGATCTGTTAATAGCAACAAAATGAATTTGCCGTCTCTCCTCATGAAAATGAAGAAAAACTGCAAACTGTTTTCCGGTCTATTCAACAAACTCATTATAATCAACCATACTACTCACTTCTGGCAGGCAACAAGAAAGTTTAACAAAATATTACGCCTCACACAGATAGAACTTTCATAGAAACCCAGCAGAGAGAAGGGAGAGTGGAGGGACATCATTGATAGTTGTCAGGACTACTGGCTCTTCCATAAGACTGGAGAACAAAGAAGAGGCGAGAAGCATTTTCATTATCAGATACTCGTTTAACAATTCTAGCAAAGAGCATTTCTCATGCACGTCATCCCTTCTGCTGGGAGAGTGGCTCTGAGAATGCAGCCATGGGGAGGCATGTTTTGATCAAGTCTGCTGCTTTCCCTTTCAAAGTGAATGAGATAATGTGGCTGTGGAACAGCACCTTTTAATCAGATCAGCAGGATCCCATTGAAATGAAGTACAATGCAGCTGCAAGTTAGTATTCCCTAAAACAGGTGTACACTTCTCCCTTTGAAATTGTGAACACAGCTCTTGTCCCTGTATCCCAAACTAAGCTTCAGTGGAACTGTGCTCAGCATTGCATTTTACTTTTTGCCCTTTTGTCACATTTTCTTTCTGTCCAAAGTAGATTTATATATGTGCCAAAAATACATTTAACTAGCACAAGTCAAATGAGTTTTAGGTATTTTTTTGCAAAAGGTGAAAGCAGCCTGAAAGTTAAATCACTTTCTTACCTCATTTACCCTCCTAGTTAGTTTCATCTTTATGCCTGGACTTAAAAGAAAACATGGCAGAGGATTGTGTTATGAGTTGAAGAAGATGATCAGAAGTCAGTATTTTGGGAAATAAAATGGGCTGATGTTACACAACCCCTACAAAGCCCTATATTCACTGTTGCTAGTTAGTAAATACAGTACCGTCAAACAAGTTCCTCCCCCCCTTTTCATGTACATTGCATAACAGATTAATTAGCCATAACTGATGCAGTTGTGAACAGCATAATGATCACAGAGTGCAGCATACAGCTCCTGGAACTCTGCCTAGGAATAAGAAAGTTACTGAGAAAAAAACAGAAAAAAATCCAGAGATGTTTATGAGGTTGAACACAATCAGGGGAAAAAGGAAGGATAGTCGCTTTATCATGATCTCTTTTAGAGCTGATTTTCAATACTCCCTTTTAGGGAATGGAAACAGGGTGGACCTTGTAAATGTTATGGGGCTAAACTTGGGTGATGTGAAAACCTTTTCTACTGATTAGTCTTGTGCAAGGGAGTTTTGCATGAAGCATCTCTGTGTACAGAGGGTGACACTGCACAGCTGGTGGTTTATGTCCAATGATCTTTCCAAATCTACAGGTATAAAACCCAAGACTAACACCATTGACACAGGCTGAGACTTGGAACTGCAGAAATAAAGGAGTGGGAACCAGTGTGGGCAATTTCCATTGTTGTATGAAGGGCAGAGCAGTATTTTTTTCATCTCTGTAGAATGACAAATGCCTTGTGACAGCCTTGCCTGAGTTTCACACCCCCAGCTGCAGAAAATGGTTCCTCACCTGAGAAATTTAACAGCATGAGAGTTTTATCTTGAAAGCTATAAACTCTAGTTGTGCTTCCACTTAAATTTATGGTTGAAAGTTTAGAGACTAATAGAATGGAAAACATGAGTGTCTCAAACTTAAATTAGAGAGCTGGCCTTTGCAGCTTGGAGTTCGGAAAAATCTCTATTCAACAGGCACAGCAATGACATATAACATACTCCTGTACTGGGTACTCATCATCCTATTAAATAGAAACTTAAAATGAGCAAGCTAATTAAACAAACAACAAAAAAAAAATAGTGGTGTGTAGTCATTGTAGTATTTTTTTTTTTCAATTCCCCACTGAAGTTATTGAAAAATAGGAAAATAGACTAAGCTCAAAGAAAACATGAATGTCTGCTTCCTCCTTTCTTTATCACTCCTGGGTGAAGGAACTTCAGAGGTGGAATTTGGTGAGATCTTCTTGAGAAATAACTGGATTATAAAATCTTTGGAGCCAGGTAAGCCAATACATTAACTATCACCCATAAATCTGTTTTCAGTTAAATGGAAGGATCTGTTGAACATAATTTATTAAAAGGAGCAAAAGTATATGAAAGTAGGTGTGTATTAAAAACTAAAATGGCCTCTAGTGAAAAGGCAGAGTCTGGACCTTCCTTATGTGAACATAAGAGCTTAGAAACTTTTACTAGGCAGTGTTTGCTTCAGCCCACACATGGGATCTTAGCCTCATCCAGATATTCCATAAAGTGGGGTACTTAACTTGAGATACAAGCTCAGTATATGCACAACAGACCCACAGGTAATAGTTGTCAGTTTTAAAGTTCTGTTTGCCTTGAAGCAGGGTTTAGAAAATAATACTTATTTCTTATGAAGATTGTATTTGAATTCTGTAAGTTAAATTAACATTATTCCTCAGGGATTTTTAATTTAAGATCCTACCTCTTCTGTATTTTTTTTCATAGACTCCTGGTTTTCTTTGCTTTTACAGTGCCTCTGAGGCTTAAATACTGTGACTGTTATTTCAAATTTATCTCCCTATGTAAATGATTTTATGGCACAAGAGTAAGAAGCAAGTAGAAACTCAAAAATAAAAATAATTAGTAGGAGATATTTAAAAGATAACAAATGATAAAAAAAAAAAAAAAGTAAATGTAAACGTAAATATGAGGCCCCAAATCAGCCTTATTCATAAAAAGCAGGACTAAATTTGGTTAATGAAAGGAGCTATATATATATGAGACAAAAAAAGAAGAATTTATCTGATTGAGCTTCATATGTAAGTTTGAGCTTGTAACTTTAGTCTATCTCAGTAAATGGGAGCAAACAGTCAAATCTGGAGGCTAATATTTCTTGCTTATCTTAAATGCCTATCTCAGGATGAAATTAATGGCCATCTCCATTTGCTAATTTTTCCTAATTGATGGTAATCAGATCAGATTTAGGTGTCTAGTTTTAAAGTACCTACGTTAGAACAAATAAATTATGTCCAGGCTTTTCAAATACATGCTAATGAAAAAATGATCAGGAAAAAATAGTATAAGATACCTTCAGAAAATGTTTTACAGAATCATGGAGTATATTGAGCAGATATCTAGCTTTTAATACTTTGACTTTAAAAATCTGATTCTACCTCTATTGAAATCAGAGAAAAGATCTAAAATAACATTTTATTCAGGCAAGTGACAAGAACAACTCTTGCTTATTTCAGAAGACATTTAGAAATATTTTGTAAAATCCCAGCAGAAATTAGGGCTGAGTCCCTCTAGGCTTACTACTTATCTAATTGTATTTCTACCCTTTCCTTTCCTTCTCCTTCCCACTTACATATGGACCTTTATATTCTCTCTTCTAGTCCTCTTCTTTATGCAGTTTATCTGTTCTCACTCAGCCACATCATATCTTGTTTTCCTCCCCCTTACTACCTTTCTTTTTTTCTTTTTAATTTTGTTGTTTAAAATACCATTTTGCTTCTCTTCCTAATTTTTTCTTTCACTTACCAATTTCCAAATCAATTTGGAGGGAGCCAAATGATCTTCTCTTGGATTTACTCCAATAGTTCCATCTTCTCTTAATCACATAATTCCACTAAGGCCTTTCTCTCGCTTTTTCATCTATGAAGTAAACAGCCTTCACATAGACTTGCACACATGTAGGCACAGACAGTTTTTAAATTCCATCACTTATGCAGTCACTAGGTTTTTCATTCTAAATATGAAAACAACAGAACCTGCAAGCATGTCTTTAAAAGCAAGCTACTTTTAGGGCTTATTTTAGTACTCTAAAGCTAACTCAACATCCAAAGACCCTTTCCAGTTCAATTTGTGAAGGACAGACTAACTCCCTGCAACACAGACACAGTTTTTCCATCAGAAAACAAACCTGAGGTGTAATGGGACCAAATGGGCAAAAAAGTCATGGAATGTATTTTATTTTAGGTGAGAGTGTAAAAGATAAGCAAATATGTCTACTAGACACGGGGCAACAAATCATCTGTTCAATTCAGTACAGTAAAGGAGCTTTTCAGACACCTACTTTTGCCTTATATATTTCTGTAAGAATTCCAGGTACCAGAAAGTAGTCAATTTCCAATATATTTTTTTCTTTTCACCCTCTCCCCTTTCATTTTTTTTTTTTTTTCTGC